ACCTTGCCTTCAAGATGTCATCTTCGTTTATCAAGGCACAAAGAAGGAAAGGGGGAGAGTGGGGGGAACCACACCGTGCCTGGAAGATCCAGGAAAGATATATATACGTGTTTATGTTAAGAAAATAGCATGTATAGTTAAGATAGACACCATTGTTTTATCAATGTAGACTAATGATAACAAAAAGAAAAACTTATTCTCTGGATAGATTAGCTTCATCACCAGTAAAAGGGGCTGTAGGGTTTGTGACAAAAATCCAACAGATGGCTCCCAGGAATGCATTCAGAAGACGACTCCTTACAATATTTCACGATCATCTTGATGCATATATGTTCCTACTTTTAAAACGAAAACTGTCTGTTTGTTTTAGAGCAAAGCCATATTGGAATATCTACTGCGTTCACCGCGAGGAATCGAACCCCGGACTTTAGTTATGTAAGTTCGTAGGCTTATCGCTGTTCCACCGGGGGGGGGGGGTCAGTGTAAACTGAAAACCAGCAAATTCAAACTTTTATGGGAATTCCACAATAATTTACTCTACCCCTTTCAGAGTCTTGCTTTTTATTTGCTTAAGCTACAACGTCATGGTTTAACGCAACAAATTATCAATAGCTAATGATCTCGTTAATTATACTTTCAAATTCCAAGGCGCCTGAAATCCGATAAAATATGTTTCTTGTGAGAAAAAAAAAATGTGATAAGTGACGAACAGAAATCAATCGTAATGTACAAGTATATTTAAATCAATAACGCTCTCTGTAAATATGTTTTTAATGTTTAAGTTTAAAAAACTATTATGATAATATTCGTTAAAATTTGGCGCATACGTCGCAACAGTATCAAAAATGTTTCAAATACACATTATAGATTTTAGAGCATATGTAAGTATTAAAACAAACGTTAGTATTTCACGTTTAAAATAATTTCCTATAAACTAAATAGTTAAGTCATATTAGATTGTTTGTTTGTTTTGAATCTCGTGCAAAGCTACACGAGGGCTATCTGCGCTAGCCGTCCCTAATTTAGCAGTGTAAGACTAGAGGGAAGGCAGGTAGTCATCACCACCCACCGCCAACTCTTGGGCTACTCTTTTACCAACGAATAGTGGGATTGACTATCACATTATAACGCCCCCACGGCTGAAAGGGCGAGCATGTTTAATGTAAACCACTTGGCCATGCTGGGCTCGTCGTATTAGAAACAAACTTTTATTTCAACACAAAAGTTTTTTATACTTTTCCCATGCCTCAAACCTAGGTGTTCTATTCATCACTTATATAAAATAGCAACCATGTTATTCGAAATAATTATTTAACTAACACCTACGATCAGGTTTCCAATGCAATAATTAATAATGAGTATACAGTTCAGACTAAATGATTGTGAATATTCTGTTTAATTTTATCTGTCATGTTAAATGTGATTTGAAATTTAACTTTAAACCTTCAGTTAATAATTTCCTGAAATATTATGATTTCATATTACATAATTTATTTAATATCAGAAAACATAAAATGACAGTAATTACTTGGTAGTCTGAAGTTTAATGTGAAACCTAACTTAAGTGTTTTACTCGGTAATCTGAGGTTTAATATGAAACCTAACTTAAGTGTTTTACTCGATAGTCTGAGGTTTAATATGAAACCTAACTTAAGTGTTTTACTCGATTGTCTGAAGTTTAATATCAAACCTAACTTAAGTGTTTTACTCGATAGTCTGAGGTTTAATATGAAACCTAACTTAAGTGTTTTACTCGGTAATCTGAAGTT